TCTCGCAAACGATCCAAGTCTCGCGAAAAACATTCCAATAACAAATATTCGGATAAGCCGAAAGAACGCTCTTCTAAATCAAGGTTTGTTATATTTACTATTATATTAATCATATATGCATGTATATATGTATCTATATATACATATATAGATATATTATTATCGCTACTTCGTCGTCTATTCCACCATTTTGTCATGCGCCTCGCATTGAAGGGCGATGTTAAATTTATTGCGTGTTAATTTATAACTATGAATCGTTGCATATTGTTTCCTTTATATATCAACGTGTATTCTAGGTTCTTATTGAGACCTGCAATATGGTTGTCCTTCGTAATACATTAATATTATTAGCATATAATGGAACTGTTATACTCATCTATACACTTTTTGCTTACTCGCTAATATATCCTATTACACACACATATATATATATAATATGATATAATTTAATAAATTTTTTTTTTAACTCGTATCTTTTAACTATCTATGTTATTTATTTGTGATCAGTGTACACTATCGATATTGATATGTATTATTTGTATGCAGGAAAAGATCTCACTCGGCATCCTCAAGTACAGGATCTGATGCATCTGATGATGTACATATAGTTAGTCATAAAAAACGATCGTATAGAGACAGAGAAAGGAAAATGGACGAAGTCGAAAGGCTAGCAGAAATGGAGAGGCAAAGGTAATTGTCTAATCATTTTTATAACGTAGTAACTGTCAAGGTTAATATTGTACATAAGTTATTATTGCGTGTATTCAAATTTCTGGAGAGGATTTTTATATAATTTAATTGATTGACAATTAAATAATATGAAATAAATGTTTTAATGTTATCGACTAAGAGAAGAAGAATTGTCTCTACGTAAATATACAAAGTGATATATAGTTGCAATGGAATATAATATTTTGTCGTATAGATTAAAGGTGCAAATATTTTATTGATTAAAATTTTCTGCATTAATTTTTGCATGTTGTTGGTAGTAGTTATTATTAAGGAAAGCTGCATCAGTTTTGCTTATAAGTTTTTATTTTGCTTTATTCTATTAGTATGTTATGTTTATTATTTCTGCGATATATCGTACTTCTATTTCCAGATATTTTGATTTTTTATTAAACAAAATAAATGAAAAATAAAGATTTGAGTAATAGTATATTGTTTTATAAAATTCTTGTTATACGTTTTTTTATAATTGTGTTGTCAGGAAAAAGAAAGAATTAATGAACAAAACCCTCATCACGAATGCGGTTGGGTAAGATTGTATAACTATTTCATGGTGGTGGTTAATCAGCCTTAATTCATATTTTATGAATAAAAATGGAAAAGCATGCCAAACATATTCCAATAAAACCATAGTATATGCCAAAGGGTTATTGGGAAAATAAGGTTATTATTAAATGGTTTGAGTGTAATGTATCCATCTTTAAAGTTGATATCTTTTAATATTTTCTAAAAAAATAAAAAGAAAAGAAAAAAAATAAAAAATAAAAATAAAAAAATATAAAAAAAAAATAAAAGCACGGCTAAAAAAACTATGTATGAAAAATTAAATAAGATCTTTTAGAACAACATGCTTGGCTGTCTGTCTGCAGACGGCAACGTGAAGTGGAGCAAAAGATGGTTGAAGAAGAAGCAGCCAAACGTATAGAGGAATTAGTACAGAAGAGGGTCGAGGAAGAACTAGAAAAACGTAAAGAAGAAATTGAAGCAGAAGTACAAAGACGAGTAGAGGAAGCAAAAAGGGCGATGGAGCGTCAAATGATGGAGGAGATGGAATGGAGACAAGCAAAACTGCGTGAGGAGGAGAAACGAAGAGAGGTAAGACCAATCCACAGAAACATTGGCCAGTGTTAGCCCAAGCGCTGTTACTTTCAGTGGGTAGTTAGCTTGTTACTTTCAAAGTACCCTGATATTACATTGAACCTATACTTTAACAAAAAGGCAGGTTCTGTAATATATGTTTATAGCATTATAGCTATTAAACTTGGAACAAGCTAAAATACTTTAGTTAAATTCTAAGGAGAAATAGAATTCTGTGACTGAGATGTGGGTAAGATGAAATATTGCATCGCAATAGTTGTGTAATCGTACATGGTTTGTACATCTCTGAAGATCAGCATTAGGGACGAGTATTGCACAGAATGTCGATAACATAAATTGCATATATATATTTACTTTTTCATTGCAAGTTGCTTGGTACCTGCGATATTGCTTAGTACCTACAACAATATTTATTACACTGTAAAATAAACGTAAATATTTTTTTAAATAATTATATCGCGCGGTTACAGCGTTTGGGCTTGAAGCAGTATGGTTCTTGAGTATATATACAAAAATTACTGACAAACCATACTGCTTTACCTTCCCAGCATCCACTGAAGTCGCGTTGTTGGGGAGAAATACTTTATATTATTGAAAAGATGTTGATATCATAGGCGCATGTATCAATTATTTATGGACAGAACATTGTATTTTGTAACATGTATATATTTAT